ATAATAAAAATAAATTTATCTCTGTAAATATATATTTTACAATAAACTATATCACAAAAGAATAAAAAAATACCCCTACACACACTTGTAATTTCATTATTTTTACAATGCATATATATATATATATATGCATTATAAAAATAAATTTATCTCTGTAAATATATATTTTACAATAAACTATATCACAAAAGAATAAAAAAATACCCCTACACACAAATCTTGTAATTTAAAAGTAAGATGCAATTCATAACTAGTGCGACAAATTATCAAATTATCATTATCCGCGCTAAAGCGTAAAGCAAAACGAGATAGCTTGCGAAGCACGTATTCTTACAATACTTTTTCTATCACGTAAAAGTTGTAACAGTCTTTGTATGTCCTCGGGCCTCGGAGAGCTAAATAATCCTAAGAGCAGCGCAGATGTAGCTCTGGTACGATCATTTTCCGATTTGGAATAGCCTCGAACAACAGCGTTTCTGGCAAGGAAATGGCAAAGTTTACAGAATATATGTATTTTACGAAATTTATATTATACGAAAATCTGCATTACATATTGTATATTTACCTGAGTTCTTCCGCTCTCTGTGGAAATTCCTCTTTCAAACAATTTATCAAAACCTTCGAAAAAGTCTCAAAATCAAACTTCGCTTCTGGTCCCAAATTACTACATATCACATGCGATAATTTCTCATTTTGCAGAATAGCCGTAGCCTTACATAATGTCTCCTTTGCTGCCTGTCGCGTAAACGACATAAATAAATATATCAAATATCTGAACGCGTATATTTATTAATCTATTTTACAGTACAATGCGATATAAATCTTACCGTAACTACCATTGTGTTCGAGTCTTCCAATCTTATTATCAAAGATGGCAAACAGCCTAGAAGATGATCGATCAAATCATCGTTCGGCAATGCAAATGATTTTTGCCAATTTATAGCTATCGCGCCCAGAGCATTTATGGCGGCGAGCTTCATTTCCCAATTTTCCTTCTCGATGAATGGTTTCAAAGCTAACACCACTCGCGGGCTTACAGGTCTCTTGCATTGAGCCGACAACAATACCGAGAGACCCCGCAACGATTCGAGTACCACTTCAGCGCCGCCTTTCCCGCCAGCGGTCTCTTCCAGTCCATCGAGTAAGGCATCCATACAATTGTCAAAGTATTCGTCGATCTGAAAGATGACGATCGTCAGTATATATAAAAAATGTACATATGTGAAAATAAAGTGGCGATTGAGAAAGCTGATATTTTACCAGTCTCGGATTCAAATAGCCTATTCTAGCAAGTCCAATGGTGGCGTGTTTTCGCACCAAGGACGATGAATCGGTCTTGCATTCGTGAAGGGTATTAATTATGGTTTCAAGCCATATAACTCCGCAGTCAACTTTGCCGATCAGTTCCGTGTAAAACGTCACGGCAACCGCGCGTTGTATGGGTATGGTACTCGTCACCAATTTACCCACTATTTGCGCCATGTTTAACGTATCTTCATTTTTGCTCGATATGCATTTAATTAACGTTCGTACAATCAATATCACGTTCTCCTCGGTTTGCGTCTCGAAAGAGGATGCCTAAAGTTTCACATTCACACAGTAAAATCGGGACAATCACATATAAACTATCTAAACAGCACTCTAATACGTACGGCTTTTGCCAGTAAATTGTACGCGACATTTGGCTGGATGATCATCAATATGCTAGTTATTACAGAATATACTTCCGCGTATGGATTCATCTTCTGCGCAGCTCGATTAGGTACATATCCGTACTTCGTGTTTATCAGCGACGCGGGAGCTTCAATCCGTAGCCAGCCTGAGAGGTACTTGAGGAGAATCGATAACAATTCCGGTAAATGTATCTCAATAAAAATTTCCATATTCGGCGATTCGAAAAGATATTTCAAACCCACGATAGCCGCCAAGGACGAGAGAGACGCGGTATT